TAGGATTTTTAACCCTTTGATGCACTACATGTGTCTAAAGTGACCCGTCTAAGTTTATTTGTCCTATATCTATGTTATAGCTTGTGCATCAAAGGGTTAATAACCACAAAGAGTCAGGACCTCGGTTTAACGCGTCATCTGAAAGACGGCGCCCACTGACAGTATAGTGTCCCCTTTACTATACTGGGGCATTAGGACTCACACAGGTTGAGCACCCCCCCTGCTGGCCTTAGTTATATAATAATTACATATTAACCTTATTGTTATTTAAATGAGTTGCCATTTAAAAATACATATGCACAGTAAAAAGTGATTATTTACTTTAAGTGAGTAACCTGGTTGTAACTGGGAACTTTTAAGTTTATTTCATTTTTTTTTAAATATGCACATTTCATTTAAAATTAAGCCAATATTTTTTACTCACTTTAAGTAACGTCGACTAATTGCTTTAAAAGCCACAGTTTTAATCGATTGTTTTAAGCTGACAGATCGTTTTTACAGTGTGCTTGTTGTAATTATTACCTCATTATTTAACTGATACATTTCCCAGTACTGGGTTGCTGCCAGAAGGGCATCTGCTGCGTGAAACATATGCTGGAATAGCTGGCGGTTCATTCCGCTGTGGAGACCCCTGATAAATAAGGGACTAAGCTGAAGGAAAATTAATAAATGAATTGATATGCTGATGAAATATTCCAGTTTTAAAAAGTGTTAAACGCAGGATAATTGTTTGACGAATCTCCACAGTGAGCCGAAACTGGAATCAAGACAAAGCAGCAGCATGTTTTGGTCACTCCATTACTCTCTCATACCTCCATCTGTGCTGGTTTTCTGTCTTAACTATTATTACCAAACGTGGAAAATGCTATGACAGCGTGTCCAAACAGTGAACTGAAAAGCCTCTTGATTCTCCAGAAGGAATGCTCTGTTATTTAGAATCAGGAGTCGTTCAGTGTGCTAAACTGCGGCGTTTGCGTCATTTCTCAACAAAGCGAGATGGTTGGGGGGGGATCTGTGCGTGATTCATTGCCGTTTCCAGTTGACAGGGTCGTTCACTCATTTTTGGGGTGAGAACAGGATGTGGAAGAGGGAGAAACATGCAGAGATATCACTGTGATAAAAGGGAGTGCTGAAGTTTCTGACCCTTGTGGAGTTTTACATCTCATTAGATCCGCATGTTCTGCCATTACAGAGACTCCCACGAAGATAAAATACAGACGTTTGTTTTAAAGGGATAGTTCACCCAAAAGTGAAAAGTCTGTAATCGTTTACTCAACCTCAGGATATTTCAGTTCTGAATGAAATGTCTGTGCTGCTGAACACCAAGGAAAATATCTGGAAGATTGTCAGCAGCCTAAATGATCTCGCCCATCAAATCCCATATATTATTATTTCCAGCTACAGTATGGGTTGCAAGATGTCTAGTCTTAGCTCAAATTAAATTGCTTTTATAACTAGGTAAAAACAACATTTAAATTAAGACTTGTTTTTACTTTACACTTTAAAATATATTCTGTAATGAGCTCATTTTGTATTTCGTTATTCACATTTTGTTTTTCGGTTTATTTACGGTTGTGAATTGCATTATGGGACCTTGATCTCTGTCTTTCAACTTTTTGGATGTAGAAAATTCAGCTGTGCTGTTTAACAAAGTGAATTTTATTAACATTGTAGTAGTTTGAAATAATATATTATATATAAAAAAATTATTTCCCAGAGATGGGTTGCGGCTGGAAGGGCTTCCGCTGTGTAAAAACTTGCTGGATAAGTTGGCGGTTCATTCTGCTGTGGCGACCCCGATTTAATAAAGGGACTAGGCCAACAAGAAAATGAATTTTATTAACATTCTAGTAGTTTGAAATAATATATTATATATAAAAAATCATTTCCCAGAGATGGGTTGCGGCTGGAAGGGCATCCGCTGCGTCAAAACTTGCTGGATAAGTTGGCGATTCATTCCACTGTGGCGACCCCGGTTTAATATAGGGACTAAGCCAACAAGAAAATGTATGAATGAATATAAAAAATAATAATATAGTCAGAATTAAAGGGAGTGCTGAAGTTTCTGACCCTTGTGGAGTTTTACATCTCAATAGATCTGCATGTTCTGCCATTACAGAGACTCCCACGAAGCATGCCAGAAAGATACGGAGAGTTAAAATACAGACGTTTGTTTTAAAGGGATAGTTCACCCAAAAGTGAAAATTCTGTCATCATTTACTCAAGGTTGTGTCAATCCTGTCAATGGGTTGCAAGATGACCTTCGTGAGTCACTTTTTTATCTGTTTATTTACGGTTGTGAATTGCATTATGGGACATTGATCTCTGTTCAGTCAACTTTTTGGACAAATGAAATTTAGCTGTGCTGTTTAAGAAAGCTGCACAGGCGTGCGGCTAGAGGGGAAAGCTAGGATGATTCTAAGAGCCCACGCATTTTGGGGGCCCTCGAAGCGCCCACCCCCACCCCTAACCTCAGGTTGTTTCAATTCTGAATGAAATGCTTTTGTTCTGCTGAACACAGAGGAAAATATGTGGAGGAATGTCAGCAACCAAACAGATCTCGCCCATCGATTCGCCCATCGATTCCCACAGTACTTATTTTTTCCAGCTACAGCACAGGACTCCATGGGTTGCAGGATGTCTAATCCTAGTTCAAATGAAATGGCTCCTTTAACATTTAAATTAAGACTTTAATTTACACTGTAAAATGTATTCTTTAAATAACTGCTTCCGTATTTTGTGATTTATTTATTTATTTATTTATTTATTTATTTATTTATTTAATTTTTTATTAGTTATTTATGGTTTTAAATTGCATTATGGGACCTTGATCTCTGTTCTGTCAACTTTTCGGATGTGGAAAATTCAGCTGTGGAGTTTAACAAAGTGACTTATTGACATTAGTAGTTTAAAACAATATATTGTATAAAATAATTATAATAATAATATATAGATATAAAATAATAATATAATATAATTAATATAATAAAATTATTAAAGAGGACCTATTATGCCCCTTTTTACAAGATGTAATACAAGTCTCTGATGTCCCTAGAGTGCGTATGTGAAGTCTTAGCTCAAAATACCCCACAAAAAAATGTATTATGACTCTTTGAAATTGACTAATTGTGCCATTTTGGTGACTGTCGCTTAAATTCAAAGGAGTTTGTGGCTCGTTTCAAAAGAGGGCGGAGCTACAAATTCCTGTGTGTCACTATGGCAGATTCAAAAAAAAGTCTGACGCTGTATGCTAATGAGGGAGAGATGGTCACTAATGGGCGGGGCTTTCCCTTTCTGATGACACGTACTAAGAGAGAATGTCAATCAAAGTGTTTCTGCAGAGTTTTATCAAGTGTGATGATACACAATTAAATTAATAAATTTGTTTTATTAGAAGCTGGTTATATTTACAGACTGCTGCCACTAATTTGTGTTTAAATCCCTTATAAAAGTGTTTTTGATAATAGGTCCCCTTTAAATCTGTGAAATAACAAGAAAAACTTATAACAACGTTTTGTGCTATAATTTACAACACCAAAGCAGACAATACATCACTTCAAGCTTGCATAAATGTCAATATAAGTAACTTTTTCAAACATTAAAACAAAAACAAAATGTAATAATAAATTACAGTATAGTTCATCTGGGTATTGATAGGATGTTTGAATTATTGTGGGATTTCTATTGGCCGAACTGATGTGATTGACAGCTTGATCATGCCCTCATGTTAGTAAACACCAATCAGAGAGAAGATATCATTGAGGGGGGAGGGAACATTTTTATAGTGTCCACCGCTAATATTAGCTCCCCTGGTAAATATAGGCAAAGGTCTTTCTTGTTTATCCTTTTATTTATCCTGTGCTTAAAATGTGCTTAAAATACTGAAGATGATTCTGAAGAGTTTGTTTTAGATGAGAGTACAAGCTTTTTGTCTTGAAACCCTTCCAAAATATTTGCGGTGATGTCAATGATGTTCAATTGTAGATTTAATTGTTGTGTTGGTTTAGTATGTTTAATATTAAGAGCAAAAGATCAAAAGGTTAAAATATAAAATACATTTTTTCATATCCTTCTTTGCTCATATTTACCAAGTGTGCCAAAAATCACAACGTTTCAACCGATAAAAGTCTTATTTTTTTATATTTTAATCAGTTAACGATGATTAAAATAAACCTATCCATGTTCTCAATGAATATTCAACTTTACTCTGAAATATATCACATTACAACAATACAAGAAGTGGAGATTTGTTGTGTTTTCAGTGTGGGAATCAGTTTATTCTCACGCTCTGTCCGTGTACAGCAGTTATGATCACACATTTAACACACACACACACACACATACATATATATATATAAAACATGACCGCTTGTTTCCCCACTGGATCCCGATGACCGTCTTCTCCATTTAATCACAGAGAATGGACTAGACTCAGATCCCCAGAGTATCTTTTGGCAGACTCTCTCGCTCTCTGTCCCTCTTTCCTTCCCTCTCGACACACACTGGGTTTATAATTTACTCCAGTCGTTTAATTAAAGAAAACTTCAGGCCTATACTGTGATGAAAGATTTGCATAAATTGTGATTACAGAGAGTATAAACTGCTCTGCGCTCCTGTCAGATGTAGACCGATTTTCATCAGAACGGCTAACCGCTAGTCAGCCAAACACTGCACGATCACCTCACAGCAAGAAGGTCGCTGGTTCTGTGTTAACCTGTGGGTTTCCTCCGGGTGCTCCGGTTTCCCCCACAGTCCAAACACATGCGCTATAGGTGAACTGAATAAGCTAAACTGGCCGTAGTGTGTGAGTATGTGTGAATGCAAGAGTGTATGGGTGTTTCCCAATGTTGGGCTGCGGCTGGAAGGGCATCCGCTGTGTAAAACATATGCTGGAATAGTTGGTGGTTCATTCCGCTGTGGCGACCCCAGATTAATAAAGGGATTAAGCCGAAAAGAAAACATATGAACGAATAATAATGTTTCACTGTGTTTTGCTCTAGGATTTGAGCGCATCTCGATCTTCTGGCTGTGCTGTGTGTGAGGTCGAGACGAGCGGAGCGTCATGTCAGAGCCGTTTGACTGTGAAAGCTGTAAAGAGTCTCTGTACGGACAGAAATACATCCAGGTGGACGACAAGCCTCACTGCGTGCCCTGCTACGACCGGCTGCATGCCAACACCTGCCACGAGTGCAAAGAGCTGATCGAACACAACTCACGGGTGAGGTTTCAAAATACACGTGCAATCAAAACTAACCGTGTTGATTTTGTTTGCTCACACTGCTAGTTTTGTGGTGAACAATTCATCTGAGCATGTCATTAAGTAGGGTTAATTATCGTTTGGGTTTTTTCGATACCGGTACTAAATCGATACTTTTAAAATGGTACTGGTGCCAAAACGGTGCCTGAATCAATCCTTTTTCACACTTAGTTCACACATATCTTATGATTGATTATAAGCAAGTTTGGCATGCTGTCCCGGGAGAGAGCCCTGAGCTCGAAGGTTCTTGAGCCCTGGGCTCCCTCTCGTTGGAGGAAGAGAGGGGAGCCTTGAGCTCAGGTAGATCTCGACAACTCCCCCTTGATAAGAGCTGATGACTAAAAATTGAATGCTATTAAAAGATATGCTGCATTATGAGATTACCTGTATTGCAAATTTAGATTGATCAATTCACTTGTTGTGCATGTTTTTGGAATGTGGGAGGAAACCTGAGGACCCGGGGAAAACCCACGCAAGCACGGGAAGAACATGCAAACTACACACAGAAACGACGAACAGCCTGTTAAAGGACTAGAACCGGTGACGTTCTTGCTGTGAGGCGACAGTGCTAATCACTGGGCCACCGTGCTGCCCTTTGGAGGGAAAGGTGAAGAGGTAGGGGTGGAAGGGGGGATTCTTCAAATCGAAGATGACTGTAGTGAAAAACCCTGGCTCTTTATAGTGGGTTAGGAATGGCCTGATTGGTGGATCATGCATGCTAATGCAGAACCAGCCGTGTTCAATCATAATCACGTGCTCCTTTTGAAATTAGTGTATGAATAAACTTCACTTAGCCACAAAATTAATTAACAAAAAAAACTGTTAAGTTTAACAATTAGGTTACAAAGTGTCCCAAATGAACCCAACTTTGTGGTTTTCCATATTTGACGAAGTTTTGGGTTACAAGAACCTACCATTTTTAGAATGTATGTATGAATTAATTAGTTTTTTTATTTAATACTAGTACCATCCCAGATGTATTTCATTACATACAGTTGAAATCAGAATTATTTGCCCCTGTTTATTTATTTTCCCAATTTCTGTTTAACAAAGAGAAAATTTTTTCAACACATTCTAACTGCTGTAAACTTCAGTAAATAGTCATGATACCATCTGCTTGCAGAAGGAAGTTTGGCTATATGAATGACTTTCTCCTATATTTACCCATTTAAATACATACTGTCCACCGTTTGCTGTTGTCAAAAGGCCACTGGGTATTGTTGAGCCTGAGTAAAAGGGCTTTTACAACAAGTTTGATTTGTTTTTCATAAGACAACAAAATATTTATCTATATATTTTACAATATATATTTACAGTAGTTCACGTTTCTTCCACACTATTATTGTTTTTACTGTATTTTTTGTAGTGTAATAATATATCAAGCCTTGGTCATATAAAAAAATATATACATTAAGTCAGAATTATTATCCCTCGTTTATTTTTTCCCCAATTTCTGTTTAACGATTTTTTCCAACACATTTCTAATCATAATAGCTTTAATAACTCATTTCTAATAACTGATTTATTTTATCTTTGTCATGTCAATATTTGACTAGATATTTTCCAAGACACTTCTATACAGCTTATAGTGACATTTAAAGGCTTACCTAGGTTAATTAGGTTAACTAGGCAGGTTTGGGTAAATAGGCAAGTTATTGTATAGCGATGGTTTTTTCTTTAGACTATAGAATAAAAATATAGCCTAAAGAGGCTAATAATTTTGACCTTGAAATGGTTCATAAAGAAATTAAAAACTGCTAATATTTTAGCCAAAATAAAACAAATAAGACTTTCTCCAGAAGAAAAAATATTATCAGACATACTGTGAAAATGTCCTTGCTCTGTTAAACATCATTTGGGAATTATTTAAAAAAGAAAAAAACAAAATTAAAGGGGGGCTAATAATTCTGACTTCAACTGTATATATATATTTCAACATGCTATTGATCACTTCATGATCAACATTATCCACACATTGGATTAATTATGTGTGTTCATGTGTTTTATGACTGTTCTTCAGCGAGTTTACGCACAAATTCAGCTCATAAGTTCCACATTTACAGTAGATGTGCGTATTATAGGTCATGGTCACGCGTGACAGAGCGGCGAAGCAGAAGCCCAATGTAAACACAGCACTTACTGATCCACCGGGAGAAATGCACACTACATAAACACTAATACTCGCTCGCTCACTCCTTCTGTGTTTTTCTCTCTCTTCCTCCATCAGTCATCCGGAGACGTGATGATTTCTGGGTCAATTCTGGGTCATTTGGCTAAAAAGGCACCATTTATTATGGGAGAGGTTTAACAGTTGAGCTTGAACACTCGGGAAGGATTGCCGGGTTTGGTGGATTATATTATTTTATAATTTAGTAAAAGAGTTTTGGCAGTGTCTGTTTGGGTTACATTTATTTTGGTTTAAAACAAACTTTTTAAACTAAAAAAGCTTCAGTCTAATCTAATTTAACATTATTCCGTTTCCGTTTTAAATTGATTCACTTTTTCCATTCAATTCATTTTGATTTGATCTGGTTGAAATGGCTTTTAAATACCACAGCAGATGAATTTTAGAGCCATGGTATTTAAGTATTCATTTACATGTCATCTAATTCCTATAAAAGTACACACACACACACACACACACACACGCACACGCACACACGCACACACTAATAAATATACTTGCACATATATTAGTAACTTTACTATAACTTTCTTATCTTTTTTACAGTACGCTCGGCTCAACTATATTTTATATATGTTGATTCAGTGTCTATATATGTTGATTCGGTGTCTATATATTTTGATTCAGTGTCTATATATTTTGTAAACCATTTATATCTTGATTCAGTATCTATATTTTGATTCAGCATCGATATATATAGTTTGATTTAGTGTCTTTATATTTAAATTCAGTATCTATATATTTTGATGTATTTAATTTGATTCAGCATCGATATATATAGTTTGATTTAGTGTCTTTATATTTAGATTCAGTATCTATATATTTTGATGTATTTAATTTGATTCAGTATCTATATATTTTGATTCAGTAGCTATATTTTGATCCAATATTTATATATTTTGATTTTAGTATCTATATATTTTGATTCCGTATCTGTATATTTTGATTTAGTGTCTACATATTTTGATTTAGTTGCTATATTTCGATTCAATATCTATATATTTTGATTTTAGTATCTATATATTTTGATTCAGTAGCTATATTTTGATTTTGTATCTAAGTATTTTGATTCAGTATGTATATATTTTGATTCAGTATCTATTTATACAGTATTTTGATTCAGTATCTATATATTTTGATTTAGAATCTATATTTTGATTCAGTACCTATATATATATATATATATATATATATATATATATATATATATATATATATATATATATATATATATATATATATATATATATATATATTGATTCAGTATCTATATATTTTGATTCAGTATCTACTTATACAGTATTTTGATTCAGTATCTATAAATTTTGATTTAGAATCTATATTTTAATTTTGTGCCAATATATTTCGATTCAGTATCTATTAATTTTGATTCAATTTGATTATTTATTGTGTACAGTATTTATATTTTGATTCAGCTTCAGTTTGATTCACATTTGATCCACCATATTTTGATTTGATTTAGTTCAGTATTGATTTGCTCTAATTTCATTCAGTTCAGGTTTCTCCTAAACTGGATTCACATAGTTGTTTTATTTTACCATTTCCAAGTCAGTTGGATCTGGATTTGACTTAATATGACTTAATGGGATCGGCTTTGATCCACTTCAGTTACAGAGCGCACATCTCTAACATAAACAGAACTGAAGAGTTTGATTTCTCACATCTTCACTGGAAGACCTCGAGCGCCAAAGACAAATACGAGGAGGTAAAACAGAAGCTTCTGGTCAGTGTTCAGCCTTCAAAGCTGTCTGATGTCTGAGAGCCTGGATCAGAGGCCAATAGTAAAGTATGTTTTTGTTGCGTAAAGGTCTCACCATTCCTTTCATGGTAGTGGATGTAACAAAGAGAACAGCAAGGTCTGTTTTGCTTCAACATGCTTTCAGCTGCAGAACTTCCTGAACAACCAGCTGCATCACCTCATGTCAACTTGTGCTCGCTTTTACACCGACCTCTGACCCAAAGCTATGACATAACTGGGATTAAGCTGAGTGAAATGTGCATTCTGTAAACTGAAGAAGAAGAAAAAAAAGAAAAAAAGAAGAAGAAGAAGAAGAAAAAAAAGTTAAAATATAACTAAAAATAATATCACATGAGGGCTAACAGTGGTGTGAAGTAACAAATTACAAATACTCAAATGACTGTAATTAAGTAGTTTTTCTCAGGAATTGCAATTTACTAAGTAGTTTTAAAAATTTGCACTTCCCCTTGAGTACATTTTTAGTGCAGTATCGGTACTTTTACTCCACTATTTTCCTTGTACCTGCAGTCTCTACTTTATTTCTTTCTTGTCTATAGTGATTGGCTTAAGTAAAAAATCAGTCCTGTGATTCCTGTCTAATCAAATCGCACACAGAAAGTAAATTGCATCATACTGAACAACCTCAAGACATAGGCGCTTTATAAATGCAGCAAACTGTTTGGAAGCATTAAAAATGTCCAAGAAGATGTTCAAAATCTTTACACGCAATGACCCAGAGACAATTTATAGACTGCATGTCACTGAAGAGAAAATAAAGGATGTCGCCTGTATGATGCCTGAAATCACCAAACAGGCTTAAATAAGAACGAAATAGAACGAAAGAAGAATGGAAGCAAGGGCCAAATGAAGGAAGGACTAAACAAAGAATGGAAGGAAGGACTGAAGGAAGGAAGGAAGGAAGGAAGGAAGGAAGGAAGGAAGGAAGGAAGGAAGGAAGGAAAGACCAAATAATGAAGGTAGGATTCAAAAAAGGACCAAACAAATGAAGGAAGGAAAAAAGTAATGGAAGAAGAAAAAAGTAACAGAGGAAGGAAAAAGTAACGGAAGAAGGAAAAAAGTAAAGGAGAAGGGAAAAATGTAACAGAGGAAGGAAAAAAGTAACGAAGGTAGGAAGTAACGAAGGAAAGTAGCAACGAAGGAAGGAAGCAAGAAAGCAAGGAAGGAACGAAGAAACGAAGTAACGAAGGAACGAAGCAACGAATGAAGTAATGAACTAACAAAGTAACAAACGAACAAAGTAATGAATGAACAAAGTAACGAATGAACAAAGTAACAAACGAACAAAGTAACAAATGAACGAATCAACAAATAAATGAAGTAACAAGTGAACAAAGTAACGAATGAACGAACAAAGTAACAAATGAAAGAACAAGGTAACAAATGAACGAAAAGTAACGAACGAATGAAGTAACAAACTAAAAGTAATGAACAAATGAAGCAAACTAATAAAGTAACAAACAAACAAACAAACTTAGTAATGAATGATTAAACAGAGTAACAAACGAACAAAGTAATAAATGAACAAACAAATTAATAAACGAACGAGGTAACTAGCGAACGAACGAAGTAATGTACGAATGAACAAAGTAACGAACGAACCTACAAGCAAAGTAACAAACAAAGTAACGAACTAACCTAATGAAGAAAGGAACAGACGAATGAATAAATGAAGGAAGGACAGAACGAACAAATGAAAAAAGGAATGAAGGAAGATAACTGAATGCTTTTAAGAATACTTCGTTTACACATCCCTGCACAAATTGCATGTAAGCACATTCACTTTTCACTGTGTAATACTCACTCACTACTCTTGAGTACTTTTGAAAGGTCTACTTTTTACTCATACTTTGAGTAATATTTACAACTCTCTACTTGCACTACATTTTTGGGCAAGTAATGGTACTTGTACTTGAGTATGATTTTTCAGTACTCTTTCCACCACTGAGGGCTAATAATTTTGACCTCAACTGTACATCTTATAAGAGTGTGTTCATGTGTTTCTCCTGTGCTGTGTGTGTGTTCAGGAGCTGTATCATGAGGACAGGCATTATCATGAGCAGTGTTTCCGCTGCTCGCGCTGCAGTCGATCACTGGCTAAAGAGTCCTTCACCTGTCAGGAAGACGCTCTGGTGTGTAACAACTGTTACTGCAATGAGTTTTCTTCTAATTGTGTGGCCTGCGGGAAGACTGTGATGCCAGGTAACCTTCACACAAACACGTATATGCTAGTATTTTATTTTTATACACACACCTTTCGAAAGTTTGGGGTGAGTTTTTTCTTCAGGAAGGATGGCTTAAATTCAGAATACGATTCAGAATAACTGTGTAATCTCAAATAAATTCTTAAAGCACATAGAAAATATATAATATACATAGACAATAATGGGTAAAGCTATTCATTTATATACATATATTTATATACGGAAATATTTTATATTATAGTGCTCTTCAATGGAGAGATTTGAACAATTTTAAAAATACCAACTAATTTAATAACTAATTAACTTTGTCTTTGTGTCTTTTGTGCTATGATGACAGTATATAATATTTGTGTATTTTTGCAAGACACTATTCAGCTAAAAGTAATAATAAAAAAAAGAATGATTCGTTAAGGGGGCTAACAAGTCCGTTCATTCATTCGTTCGTTCATTCGTTCCAAGGTTATTCTAGTTATTATAAATAACTATAATAGATATAGAATGAAAATGCAAATAAACATGCACATAATACGTTATATATCAATGTAAATGTGGGGCGGGGCGATGAATCGCGATGCTGGCTCAGCATCGAAAAGTTAGTCGGCCATCGGCGATGGTAGTGGTAGGTGATAGTGGTCATGTGACCTCTGAATACAATTTTCAAAAAATTGATGGTTGAGTTTTTATTATACAATATTTATTCTGATGATTTTAAATATTGCACCTAACAAATATCCTTATTTAGAAAAAATAACATTAAATAAAGTAATAAAAATAACACTGAAACTAATAAAAACTAAACTTAAACTAAGCAATTTCAAAATATATGAACAAATAAAAACTAGTAAATCTGCCTCTCAACACTAATTAAAGTCAAAATAAAATAAAAACTAAAACTTATGAAAAATCCAAAACTATTATAACCTTGGTTCATTTGTTTGTTTGTTAAACATAAAAGAATTAAGTTGTCCCAAAAACACTCAAGAATTGTTTTGATTCAGCTCATTTATAATAAGTAGTATGAACAAACACCAAAAATATGTTTTTGATTGTGCGACTGTAGTGTTGTTGATCCATAAACATGTTGGTAAAGTCAGGCTGTGTGTTTCTCACTCTACCCACTAATGCAGAAAGTCAGTTATTGAGTTTAACAGGGTGCGGCAGTGCAGATTACAGACACGCTCAGCTGAGACAGAAAACCCTGCGGCCACACGCCAGCACACGGCCCTTACGTTACCCATAATTACACTCCGCCGCCTGCCGCTGACTCTCTAATACTCCACAAAGAGAGACGAGACTGTCTGAATGTACTAAGAGGATAAAATTACAACTGAAAGTGGCAGCGCTCTCTCTCCTCCCTCTTTCATTCAAAACACACTTTAAGATCAGGTGAGCCGTTTCCTACCAAACCTGTATGCTGCAACTCGTGCATTTTTCAGATTCCACGTGCGTTTCTGTGGATACACACTTCCAGCCCACAGATTTCACACAGCTGAAATGGAACTCAAAACACGAGCGGCTTTTGTAGATATAGAGTCATTCAGCAGGAATATGACATCACATCATGTGTAGTTGGTCATGATAATGCAAAGGTTTAACTGTGTGGTATTTGCTTATCGAATGTGCTCAGTCACCTGAAACAGTAAAAGTGCTTGAGAAAGAACCTGTCGTGGATAATTAGGCCTGTTTTTCTGAGTAAATCATCCATTAATCATGCAATGATTTAATGACCTAAAAGTTATATGAAGTTATATATTGTCCTCTCAGGCTCTAAGCGGCTGGAGTATGAAGACTGTGTGTGGCATGAGGAGTGTTTTGTTTGCTGTGGTTGTGAGCAGCCCATCGGCGCCCAGTCCTTTATTCCCGATAAGGACGAGTACTACTGCGTGCCCTGTTATGAGGGACGATTCGCTCCGCGCTGCGCTCACTGCAAACAGGTGACACAAAAACTACTCATTTTATTATAATTCATCCATTAAAGATGAACTATTATGCCTCTTTTTTTATAAGATGTAAAATAAATCTTTGTTGTTCCTAGAGTGTGTATGTGACGTTTCAACTCAAAATACACAACAAATAATGTTTTTTAAGTCTTTGAAACTGCCGTTTTGATGCTAATTATGAAATTTTGGTGACTTGTCACTTTAAATTCAAATGAGATTGTGCTCTTTTTTTAAAGAAGGGGGAGCTACAAAAGCATGTGTCAGTAAAGTGGCAGATTCAAAAACAAGACTTTTGCTCTATGCTAATGAGAGAGATTGTCACTAATGGGCGGGGCTTTCCCCCTCTAATGACGCATACAAAGGGAAAATGTCAATCAAAGTGTAGCTGTAGAGTTTTATCAAGTGTGATTATAAAAAATTTAATTATTTTTACGATTAGAAGCTGGTTATATTCACAGAATGTTGCCACACAACTGTGTTTAAACTTTTTTTTAAAGTGATTTTTGCATAATGGGTCCCCTTTAAAGTCTATAATGTAGATTGCAGGTACAATGCTAATGTTTTTCCAGTATTTTCTAATGTTGAGTCAGAAATCCTACACACAACAAACACTACAGCTTTTCTTTCCAATTTGTGAAGTTTTTACATAAAGGGTTAGCTACATTTTTAGCATGATGCATGAACTAACGCATCTTCCACATTTCACTATATGGCTAGCATGTATTTATGTTTACATTTTGGCTAGCAATAGGCTACTTACTATGTGGAAAATGTATTTTTAGCATGTTTAACATTAGGCTAGCATGGCTTAGCATGTTTCTAGCATGTTTTTAACATGATTTACAGCATAGCTATGTGTTAGCATCTTGCTAGCATAACTTATAACATTTCCCCCATATGACTAGCATAACATGCTGCTAACTTGTTTCTAGGATTGCTTGTTTCTTAACATTTACAAGCATGAATTGTTGTTAGCATGCGCTTTAAACCACATAAATAACATTTAATCATGTTGCTAACATGAATTAGCATGTTGCTTTTATGATAATCACATTGTTAACACAAATTAGCATATTCTAAACTTTAATTAGCATATTGCTAATGTAAACAAATAAAGCTAGCATTTTTTTATATAATTAATACACTGGGAAAGCATGACAACATATATTTTTTAATACAGTATGTACAGTATGTTTTTGTCTTATGACACTGTAAAAAAAAGATTGCAAACCACATACTAATATTAATATTGAGTATTTGAATGTTTCATTCAGTTTGTTCAATCAAATGACATTAGAATTAAGTTTTTTTTAATCTGTCTTATCTCAAACAGACCTTGGTTCAGGGTGGTGTTACGTACAGGGACGAGCCCTGGCATAAAGAGTGTTTCCTGTGTACGGGATGTAAAGTTCAGTTAGCCGGACAGCCTTTCACCACGCAGGGTGAAGATCCATACTGCGTCAAGTGCTTCAGCAACTTGTACGCCCAAAAATGTGCCGCCTGCGAAAAACCCATCACAGGTCAGTGTGTGTGAGTGTGTCCTTCATAACAAAACCACGATTCACAACATCAACTAACACTAACGCTTTGTCAGAAACAAGAAACAGTTGTCACATAAACAGGGTCATGTGTTTTGTGGCATGCAGTGCTTCATAATGACGAGTATTACATCTAGTAGGTCATGAACTATTAGTCAAAGTCAGATCACATTTCTGGACTGTTTATATAGTTTTGATACTGATCTCAAAGCAAGTTTAGCAAAGGGTCTGGTTGCCATTACAATGATTTTTCATTACCTCATGCTCATGTCATTCCAAACTCTTGATTTTCTCATATCATAAATTCTGTGAGACACAGAATGGGATGTTTAACAGAATGTCCATGACACTCTTTCCATATAAAACATATTCAACAAGCCTAAAGTGACATTTTAGCCAAGTGTGCCATCTGATGTTAAAAACCAGCCTAGAGCACCACTTGTTGTTAGAAACTAGCCTAGATCGCCATCTGCTGTTAAAAACTAGCTAAGAACACTATCTGTTGTTCAAAACTAGCCTAGAGCACCATCTGTTGTTCAAAACTAGCCTAGAGCATCATTTGTTGTTCAAAACTAGCCTAGAGCACCATTTGTTGTTCAAAACTAGCCTAGAGCACCATCTGTTGTTCAAAACTAGCCTAGAGCACCATTTGTTGTTCAAAACTAGCCTAGAGCACCATCTGTTGTTCAAAACTAGCCTAGAGCACCATTTGTTGTTCAAAACTAGCCTAGAGCACCATTTGTTGTTCAAAACTAGCACAGAGCACCTTCTTCTAGATTGTCGGCGCCAATAGCCTAGTGGTACTGTGTGCCGACATATAGCACTGACATGCTCACGGCGACCCAAGTTCGATTCCCAACTCAAGGTCCTTTGCCAATCCTACCCCTCTCTCTGCTCCCAATGCTTTCCTGTCTGAAATGTCTACTGTTCTATCATAATAAAGGTGAAAACCCCTAAAAAAATTATTCTAAAATCATAAAATAAAATAAACAATTGCCTAGATTGCTATCTGCTGCTACTAAAAACTAGCCTAGAGCACCATCTACAGTTAAAAACTAGCCTAGACCAACATCTGCTGTTAAAAACTAGCCTAGATTGGCATCTGCTGCTGTTATAAACTACCCTAGAGCACCATTTGCTGTTAAAAACTAGCCTCGAACATCACCTGCTACTAAAAACTAGCCTAGCGCACCATCTGCAGTTAAAAACTAGCCTAGAGAAACATCTGCTGTTAAAAACTACCCTAGAGCGCCATCTGCTGTAAGAAACTAGCATAAAGCACTATCTGCTATTAAAAACTAGCATAGAGCGCCATCAGCTGTTAAAAACAAAGCTCAAATTTGATTCAAGAGAGAATAGTATTGCATATTGAAAATCTCGATGCAAAATCTGTTCCTGTAATGATTCTTTCACAGCTCTAGTTCAACCTTTTGTTGAATGACTTTTGACTATTTTTAAGAATAATGACTATTTTTCTGTTAAAAAGATTCTATTTTTTCTGTTATAACACTTTTATGCCCTTAGAAATTATTTAAATAATGCCATCAAATGAAACTAAGCATCTCTCTGTCTCGTTCTCAGGTTTCGGAGAAGGGAAGTACGTCTCGTTTGAGGAGCGTCAGTGGCATAAGCCGTGCTTTAAATGCTCTGTGTGTTCACTGTCTCTGGTTGGTGCTGGATTTTTCCCCCATGGATCAATGATTCTCTGCAAAGGTTGCAATACCAAAAAACTGTTTCAGATCGTTTGTGAACAGACCATTGAGTAATTAAACATTTATATATTGTTCATAATTTATACATTGAATGTATATGCAAGTTTTGGTGTAACACTCTCCCAACTCTCCCTGTTAAACAAGGTTTCGGCAGGTTTGATGAAGCAAGTCAATGCGTTCTTTGAATGCTAATTTTTAAGCAAGCAATGACTTGTAATAAATTAAATGCATATTTCTTTTAAAAAAGGTTTGAATAACTCCAAAAATAAATAGATTTTACTGTAACTTATTATTAAACTGCAAAAAAGTAATGTTTTTCTTGTGTATTTTAGGTTTATTTTACTGGGGAAGATATGATTTCAGATTCTTAAATCAAGAATAATTTAAATGGGAAGCAAAATGATAAGACATACGTCTTGTTTAATTGTAAAACTGATCAAAATGAAGCAAGTTTTGAGTTGAAACAAGAAAAAATAGCAGCAAAAACCCTTAGATTTTTATTCATTCATTCATTCATTCATTCATTTTTTCGACTAAGTCCCTTTATTCATCAAAGGTCACCACAGCGGAAGGAACCGCCAACTTGTGTTTTACACAGCGGATGCCCTTCCAGCTGCAACCCACTTCATGGAAACATCCATACACACTCATTCACACACACATACACTACAGCCAATTTAGCTTATTCAATTCACCTATAGCGCATATGTTTGGAGGAAACCCTCGCCAACTCCACATAAAAATGCCAACTAACCCAGCTGGGACTTGAACCGGCAACCTTCTTGCTGTTAGGCGACAGTGTTAAACACTGAGCCACCTTGTCACCGGTCTATTTTTTATTTTTTTACAAATTCTCAGATATTTATTCTTATAATAAACATAAATTTACTTTACTGTTAATTTTTTTTTCAGGAATCATGAACTAATTTCTTTATCAAGCATCTTAAGAACATGTATTTTGATTTAGGGATGTTTAGACGTTCATATTGAGAAAAAAACTGAACTAAGATATTTATATTTTGCAGTCCATTCAGCATTTAATGCCACCACTTAATGACTTTAAACCTTTCTGCTTTGATTTAAGACATTATAAAAGGATGAGTTAGAAATTTCCCCCCTCATCATTGTAGTGCTTTTATGTTTTTAATTCAACATTTGAGTTATTCTCATATTTAATTCAACTCCAGGCCTTTGCAACAATCCTTAACGCAAAATACTTTTTACCAATATACACACACTGACCCAAATGACTGCCAACAGTGAAGGTGTGTGTTTAATGAGACATTGAGATCCAGGACTGAAAAGATGTTGTTTGTGTGAAACAGTGAATTTTACTGCACTCCTGTAATGCACTAATGCATGCTTTTAATAATTTTCACATGAAATATTCACACATTCATTTGTTTCTTTCGAAGTATGTTTGATATTTGATTGTATTTTTTACATAATATGAATGCTCTCTGTAAAACTGCTCAAGCTGTTGTAATTCCATTCATAAAAAATGCTTGTAACATAAAAATACTTCAAGGTTCGAGTGATATTTTCCCTTTTTTTTTCCAAAAAATAAAAATAAATTTTTTACACTGAATTTCTGCGAGACATTCATTCATTCATTTTCCTTTAGCTTAGTCCTTTATATATTAGGGCAGGGGTGGCCAACCCTGTTTCTGGAGTGCCACCTTCCTGCAGATTTCAGTTGCTACCCATATCAAACACACCTGAACCAATTAGTTAGGACCTGAACACCACGTGATAATTACAGGCAGGTGTGTTTGATATGGGTTGCAACTGAAATCTGCAGAAAGGTGGCTCTTCAGGAACATGGTTGGCCACCCCTGTATTAGGGGGTCGCCACAGTGGAATGAACCACCAACTACTCCAGCAAACGTTTATGCAGCAGATGCCATTCCATCTCCAACTCAGTGCTAGGAAACACCCATGCACTCTCACATTCACACATGCACTCATACGCTAATTTCATTCATTCATTCATTCATTTTCCTTGGGCTTCGTCTTTTTATACATCAGGCAGAATGAACACAGCTGATGCCCTTCCAGCTGCAACCCAGTACTGGTAAACATCCATACACACTCATTCACACACATACACTATATGAACAATTTAGTTAATCCAATTCATCTAAATATGTCTTTGGACTGTGAAGGAAACCGGAGCACCAAGAGGAAACCCACACCAATGTGGGGAGAACATGCAAACTCTGCAAGCCGGGACTTGAACCAGTCGACAGTGCTAACCATTGAGCCACCGTGTCGCAGAGATACAAACTCTAAACTTAACTCAATTTAGTTTCATTTTCTTGCCTGATTAAGCCTTTAAACTACACTTTACGCTGAATACTGAATCCTCCCGGTGTCCAAACATTTTATCCTACCCATCAGATTATGCTGCCACCAATCATTTGAATGGTTCTGAGGTTGGGGTTAGGTAGGTTAGGGCAATATTACAGCTTCATATCACACTACTCCACGTTAAAATTTATACTGGTAGCAAAGTCTGAAGCATATTGCGTCATCAAAATGTGCTACCTATACTTTTTGAATGGAAGGTAGGACATTATGACAAGGTAGGATAAATCGACAGAACATTAGCCCAGCCAAGACTCAAACCAATGACTTTCTTGCTGTGAGGCCACAGTGCTGACCACTGAGCCACCGTGCCGTCCTTCTGTGAAACAATTTCTGATAAAATGCCGCCTCCTGTCACCAAATGAAAACAAACATGCAAAAACTCTGCATGTGAAGTTAATTCGAACTGTTTTTAGTTGCACTCTTTTTTAAATCTCGTGTGAAACATTTATTTTTACCACATTCTTTTCCCCTTTACCAAAAGCCAAATAGTTTTTCTGATGGATATTTTACCAAATAAGGGCACACAGCACTGAAAGATGACTATGACAGTTGTAATTTCCTGAAATGATCGATGCGGGAATCACTGCAGGATGTTAGAGCACTGAGAAAGTGAAGTACAATTGGTACCTTTGTGGGACACCAGATGGTCAATACTTGATTGACAGACCAACCACTGATCAGACTTTGCACACACATCCAGTGGAAAACGATGGGCTGATGGAGACACTTCAATCCTTAAAAGGTAAAGTCAGAGATATTGAGGTTTTACAAGGCATTTTAACATCACTACAGTTCATTGTTCATAAGTTATTAGAGCTCTTTTGTTTTACTGTGTGAAAATAATTTAGATTGTTTCATGAAATTGTTGTATAGAGAGGAGTCAAATACAGGATTTGGATGTCTGCATCAATTGAAATTGACGAAAGAGATTTTAAAGGCCTATAATGTGCGTCTATTTTTATAAATAAAGTAAATAAAATGAAAATGTCCATATTTATTCAACATATCAAACACATGTTTTCAGTAAACAACCTACTTTTTTGCCTCATAGTTATTTAAATATATATTAATAAAAGGTGATTGTACAATGTATAAAATATATTTTAAATTATTAAAAACTTCTGTTAACAAACGAATAAAACCTATTGTTTAGAAGCATATTGGCATGATACAATTATGTAAAATGACATTATTTTCAGCCTATGATCCTTTAATATCTTGATTCGTATTTAAAATGCCTGACAACATTTTTTGGTAGGTCTACGTGACACTGGGTTAAAATGCAGGTAATATCTTCAGTAAACTTTGGTAAAAATGTGTGAGCATTGTTTTATTAAGACATTTTCATTTAATGTTTTAATACTTGATGACTCTTATAACCGTTTAATATAATCTTATATAATCTTTGAATCGTACATTGTGGTTAATTTGTAAAGGTCTGAATGTTATAGCAATCCAAGCGTTCATACCTGCTCCTAAATACGGTAGGTTTTTCTTGAATCACTTCATAGTCTTCGTTTTGTCTTTAAGTCCTCTGGTGATTTTAGCGAATATACCGATTCTCCTCAGGTTCACAGGTGAATTTAATCATATTAACTATCAACATAATTCACTAGCATTTGAAACCCACTAGGCGTCAGTATATCCACATAATTTAGAAACGCGTGTAGAATTCTACTCCAAAAATGAGACGCCTTCAAATTACCTGTATGTCTTCGAGATTATGTTACTAACATGAAATATTACAAGCCTAATACTAGCAAATTTCATTGTTATATTTTAAGCAGCACAATAACGGAATGTTTTATGCTAATATAAACAGTATACCGGATGGCACCGGAAGTCTCGGTCATGTACTTTAAAATGAGTAAGGGAAAACGGGGATTAAAGTAACACATTTGAGGGTCAGTAACCTCAAATTGTTGTTGTCTGTTGTTCATCCAAGGTCTCTCACACTTTGATATTGTCTTCTATAAATTGGCTATAATTTATAAACGCTTTGACTATTTCCACACAAACAGCTTAGTAGCCTTATTGCCCAAATTTGAAGAGTTGTTGTTCTAGGCTGAGATGTAACTCTAGCTAAACATAGATGTAACATTTAGAAATAATTGGTGAAATAATATCCACACTACCTACTTTATCGCTGAACTTTATGAAAAGAACAAATTGATAAACTTCTTGCTCATAGGCCTATGCACTTCTCATGTGAGCTCAAATAGGAGCTAAGAGTGTATAATACGTCTATCACCATAGGCCTAGGCTACCCCTGCTGAAAAATCCAGCTTAAACCAGCCTAGGCTGGTTGGCTGGTTTTAGCTGGTCAACCAGGCTGGTTTTAGAGGGGTTTTGACCACCTCCAGGCTGGTTTCCAGCAATTTCCAGCCTGGTCTTAGCTGGTTAGGCTATGAGATGACCAGCTAAAACCAGCTTGACCAGCCATGCGGCTGGGAGCCCAGCCAAAACCAGCTATATCCAGCTTAAACCAGGCTGGTCAAGCTGGTTTTAGCTGGATTTAGCTGGTCATTTTCCAGCCTGACCAGCTAAGACCAGGCTGGAAATGGCTGGAAACCAGCCTGGAAGTGGCCAAAACCCCTCTAAAACCAGCCTGGTCGACCAGCTAAAACCAGCCAACCAGCCTAGGCTGGTTTAAGCTGGATTTTTTAGCAGGGACATTATTTATAACACTTAGCCTGTACTTCTGCTTTATATTAAAAGATATAATGAGGAAAACAGCCTAAAAGTCATCTTTTTAAAACCCATGTATAAACTTTGATCTGTAGACATTGGTTCAAAATTCTCATGACTCTTCCCTTTAATGCACTTGACCCTGTTTATGGAAGTATGAAAATTGTGCTTTGCTTGTCCCAGGAGAGACTCCGGGTCCTATTAAAGCTGTACTCCTGGGTCTTTGGTTTAATTTTGTCTAAATTCTCAACTTAAGTATCATCCTTCATCTCTGTAGAAGCATCAGACCTAAACATTGTAGCCTGATGACTTGTCACTCAGTTCATGTGTTGATTAGGCTACATCACTTGGTGGTTTATAGTAGTAATGTATTTTAGTAAAAGTGTGGCTTATTTGTGGTTACCTATGTTATAACTTTTTTTCCATTATACTCAAATACACAGTGTGAAAAACTAAATTAGAACTTTAAAATGACTAAACTACATGGCGTACAGAATTCGTTTTTTACATTTTCACTCCTATTTTTCTCATACAATTAATTAATGGAATACTTTTGAAACTATAGGCCTAGAGTGACACCTAGTGATCAGTTTGTACTCCTCCATCGGATTGTAAAATCCCTGAATGACTTTATACCTGTAATATTCTATGAAGCAGTAGAATATGGAGGCAGGTGGATGTAATTTGAGGCTGTTTATTTAACAGATGCTGCACCCAAATACCTGATGTGGATCCGGCTAGCACAACAACACACTGCTCTGTCGAACTCTCAGTGGAAGGCTTCTTATTAGCTAAGGACCCCCTCTAGCGGTCACACTACCTCATGACATGTTATTGCTAGTTCACTACAATACCACTACTATTATAATTAAAAAGACAAATTAAGGGACATTAGGGGCACTTTTTAGGTTACTAATATATTATTATATATAATAGATTCTAGATAATAGACTTTTATTTAGATTTACACTACCGGTCAAAAGTTTGGGGTCAGTTTTTTATTATTGTTATTAATGTTATTTAATAACTCAAGTAAAAGTATTCTCTTCATCAAGGCAGCATTTATTAAATAAATAAAAAAAAAGTTAAATTGTTAAATACTTATTTATTAAATATGTATTTATTACTTATTGTATGTAGTTTCAGATTAAATAATTACTCCAGTCATTATTGCTTTTATTATTACTACCATTAATAATAATAATAATAATAATAATAATAATAATAACAACAACAACAAATAATTAATATTAGAATGATTTCTGAAAGATCATGTCACTCTGAAGACTGGGGTACTGAAGCTAAAAATGCATCTTTAAAATCACTGAAATAAAAGATTAAATTAAATTATAAACTACTTTTGAACAGTTGTTTTATAGTGCAATAAAATTTCACAATTTTACAATTTGTACTGTATTTTTGATGAAATAAATGCAGCCCTGGTGAGCAGGAGAAGCTTATTTTATCCTACTGACCCCAAACTTTTAACCGGCAGTGTACTTTCACTGGTTACCAACAATTATAACTTCACTATACATTATGATAAGACATTTAAATATTCACAACCCAACCAAAAACCTGGGAGATTTAATGATGACACTATCACCATCGAAACGCCACATTATTAATACAGGGCCACATTTTTAGCTTTCAACAGTTTTTAATAAATGTTTTGCATGTTTTCACTTTGCATTAAGGTGCACTTTTATGGGTTACTTACATTTACAACTCGTCACGAAATGATCCTATGCATTGATGTGCTCATTTATACGTGCTGTAGAAATAAAAAAATATATATGCAATATGGTTGAACATTTTAAATATGCAACATTCTGAATGATTTTAATATTGTACTTCAATTGAGTCTATAAATCAGTTGGTATATAAAAAAATAATAAAAATGTTATTCCAAAAAAAGTAAAATATTCAGAACAGTCAAAAATGGTACTTTATACTAAATTAGTATTTTATAGTTGGTTTGGAGCCTTTAAGTTTAGTGGATTTAAAGGAACATAAATATACACATTAAAATAACAGGACTCATTCATTCGTTCATTCATTTTCTTGTTGGCTTAGTCCCTTTATTAATCCGGGGTCACCACAGCGGAATGAACCGCCAACTTATCCAGCAAGTTTTGACGCATGCCCTTCCAGCCGCAACCCATTTCTGGGAAACATCCACACACACACACACACACACACACACACACACACACACACATTCACACACTCACACACTACGGACAATTTAGCCTACCCAATTCGCCTGTACCGCATGTCTTTGGACCATGGGGGAAACCGGAGCACCCGGAGGAAACACACGCGAACGCAGGGAGAACAAACAACAACATGCAGGACCACTGTTGTTTAAATATATATATTTTACTTAAAGTGGTGTACATTTATTTGTTGTAATTAACAGGAGTGATGATCAGTGGGTTTGAGTTTTTACCTTCATAGTTTGGACATGGACTGAAATATGGATAGAGTTTATCAGTGAAAGTCTGATCAGTGAAAGAGTAGATATGAGAGCTGGACTCCACATCATAAAAGGAGACCAAACCCTCCTCATAATCCACAAACACACCGACCCGCTGCGGCTTCACTTTCAGAGACAGAGAGAAACATTCATTTTCCTTCCTCAACCACACAGTACAGAATCCATTACCGGGAGTCAGTGTGATCTTTCCTTTCCTGTTAATGGATTCTCTGGCCACTCCTAAATCCCAGTCAGTCTTTCCCTTCACCTGCACCTCATAATAAAATCTCCCTGAGGAGAATCCCTCCTTTCCCAAGACACAGGGACAGTAATCAAATCTCTGTGGTGTGTCTGGGAGTTCCTGTCTGATGTCTCCACATCTCACTTGTTTTCCATCATCAGACAGGATGAGTTTAGGATGAGCTGTATCAGGATCCAGAGTAACATCCACTGAGAAAACAGAATATAAATTACTAATAATCAGAGTGAATATTATGATTGTTTATAATATTTAATCCAGTTTTTAGCGTTAAAGCTGTGAGAGTACAGATGTGAATTTTTAGTTGTTTTTTTAACAATTTAACTTTAAACTTTTAATTTTCAGCTCTACTGTCCGCTCATTTAACAACACTTTTAGCTTTTCTGATTTTAACAGTAATCTAATAACATGAACCTATTGAAAAAATATAGAGTAAAGCACTATACAAAAAACTAAAATGAATTGTATTAAATTGAACTGAATCTGAGTGTAAACTAGTGTAGTTCATCACACTGTACCTGCATACTGCTGCTTCCACTTCAGCTCTGCAGACACACAAGACAATAAAACATGAGGAGATCTTTGAGGTAAGTTCATGTGTGAAATTATACAAAACTTAATGTAACATTTTAAAAATAATGTGCAACATCACATTTACATCTGATCAATGTATGATTTATAGAGAATCAGGCAGCTTTCTGTTTATGCATCAGATGCAATTTAGTGAATGACTCAACATATGCAGATATTCAATAATTCAATATATTGTGACGATGAACAGACACAATGTTTATTATTGTGGCCACTTCAAAATACTATGAATATTTTTATTTATTATTTAACCTTTTAGAGAATATTGTAAGAATATTCAGATGTTTTTTCATTACATTTAAGCTTGAACACTTAATAGGATGTTTATTATCAAATATGAACATTTTTACACATTAATCTGATCTACAGTATTGAAAATTCAGTGGCCATTTATAAACTGTTTGTTTGTTACCTCAGTACAGTAAGGCTCAGGTTGTTAACATCAGTTAATTGTTAATTTCTTATCAGTTAAATGTTTCTTTCTTAGTTAATGACTGAAGCAAAATAATTTAAAAATTGTAGAAGCAGCTAATTTCAGTTTAAAATGTAAACACGGTGAAACTGCTTGAAAAAAGACCTAAACATTAAACAATATCCAGTTAAACACATGTTAAACCCATCATCTTTACAGCTGATAAACTGCCTTGACCTGATGACAATGTATATGATGTGTTTAGGGCAGCTGAAGAAGCCTCAAAATTGTAGATACAGAGATAATATCACTGATAATGACAAATACATGATCAAATACTGTCATATACTCTTATTTCAGCTTCTTCATTCTTCATCACTTATATTAAATCATATTTGATTGACAAACCAGTTTGTGTGATTTTCTCCTCTACAGTGTCCTTTAGTGTATTTAAAGCTCTTCTCAGAGTCTCCAGATTCTCCTGAGTCTTCAGACTGATCTCAGGCCAGTTCCTGGTGTCTGCAGCTCTGTGCAGGGATGAGTAACTCTACAGCAGGAGAGAGAGAGGAGAAAGCCTTCAGCATGGGGAGTGTTCTGGTGTGTCATTGCTCAGAGAGATGTTGACTGACCTGTAGGAGGTGGAGGTGATCTTCAGTGTGTGAGAGCTGCTCCAGCTCAGTGTTTCTCATCTTCAGCTCAGTGATCTCCTGCTCCAGCTCTTCAATCAGCTCTTCCTCCTGTTTCTCTGCTGCTTTCTGCTGCTCCTCCATCATCTCCAGCAGTTCAGTCTGACATCTCTCAATGGCACGGATTAGATCAGTGAAGATCTCCACGTGAGTTGCTTTCTCCTTCTCTGAGTTTATCTGCTCAAACAGGTCAGGCAGAACATTATTAAGGTTTACTGAGATAAGAATCATTGTTACTGTTACTAATAATTCAGATAAGGGATTTTGAAATTCACTTAAAACCCTAGTAGTATTAAACTGAAACTGCATCGTCTGCACTGAATGATTCATCAAATGATGTCTTTGTTGAGCAGCGATATCAATGTTCAGACCAACAGCACATATGCAAATATTCTTATTCTAGAATTTGTTAAATAAGCACTTAATATGAATTAAATTACATTGCAGACAAATTATTGCCAGTTATTGCATGTTTTTTTGGATTGCTTGATTCTGGTTGGTCAATAAAGACATCGAGGTGTGTGTTGTCCCTAATAACTACTAACTCCAGATAAAGTGATTGAAGTCAACAATATATGCTTACGGGGCACCACGGTAGCACAGTGGATAGCACTATCGCCTAACAGCAAGATTGTCGCTGGATCGAGCAATGGCTGGCGTTTTTGTGTATAGTTAACATGTTCTCCCCGTGTTGGAGTTGGTTTCCTCCAGGTGCTCCGGTTTCCCTAACAGTCCAAAGATATTTACTGTAGGTGAATTGGCTATACTAAATTGTCCATAATGTATGTGAATGAGTGTGAATGGATGTTTCCCAGTGATGGGTTGCAGCTGGATGGACATCCGTTGCCTAAAACATATGTTGGGGGTTCATTCCACTGTGGCGACCTCAGATTAATAAAGGGACTAAGCCAAAAAGTAAATGAATGAATGAATGAATGAATATATGCTTATATTTGGTAAACTAATAATTGACTTTTAGCAAAGCCACACCCAAAATCCGCCACCCACCAATCGTGGCTTAGCAACCGCAGCTACGCGCAGGGGTTCTGTCAAGCTTTTGAGTGAGGGAAACAAGCCAAAGCGTTGTGCATATGGATTGTGCAAATCGGATACCCGGTATCATAAAAGTTTGGACGGTGTGGTGAAATTTTTTCCCACACCTGAAACCCAAGAGGAGAAATGCCAGCATGGATCAAGCTGTGTGAGGGGCTCAAGGAGTGAAGATAAGTTGGTTTTGTTTTCGATATTCACATTCAGTGATTGACGGCAATATCTCACACACCTCTTACGTTACCCTAAACAGATCTAAACTGTTTTTCCTACAAAAACACAAAGCAGGTTATGTTTTCCAGCTGTTTTTTTCTGTTTTTTTCGCTTGATATTATGAGCACTGCTCTGTTTAAGCCCTGCCATAGTAGTCATACTAATAGTGATCACAAACTGAGCACTTGTGATCTTTTTATTTTTTTATTTTTGTGGAAAAATCTATTTGTTCACTTTTGCAATTTATACTTTGATTTGCATTTCAATGTATTTATTTTTTCCTCTCACCTGCAAATTAAATTAGAAAGGGTATAAAGTAAAAACATACTGACAGTTATAGCTACTGTACATTGTTATGAGTCAATGATGCTAATATTCAGCACAAATCCATCAGTTTCCCCTTTCTGGCTGCTATTTCTGTAACTGATGTAAAAGCACAACCCATGCGTGTTTCCTTTCGGTTAGTAACGATATATTTCATTGCACACCAATAGTCTCATTAGGCTTTTTGGACAAATAAAGACAAATCAAGGTTCAATTTGTTATTATTAGATTATTTTTAAGTTTCCTGCTGTGCATGAACTAAGCTGTTGAATGGTCAACGTATGAGGTGGCTCGGCTAATCTAGCTTCAATTTTGATTAAATTATTTTCTAATCGCTTGCTATTATGTTATAAATATACCCCTGTACTGCAGTCCTTTTTTGTCTGGCTTTCTTGGAAATCTCACCTGTTCGTGAAAAATGCCTAATTATATTCCTGGTAATGTCTGACACTGGCGCATACACACTGTAATAGATGTGCTAAGCCCGAAAGCTTGACAGGCGTAGTAACAGTAACTAAGGAGGGTGAGGCTTAGCGAAGGGTCACCAATACTGATTCTGGTATCAGGCCCGATATTGAGCTCATGTACCCATACTTTTACATGTAAAAACATAGGGATGGCAAAGACCAATACGCAGTGACGTTACTGACAGAACTTTATCAGTGCATCAGCAATGGCAACACAATCTAAAGCTCAGCAGTGTGGAAATATTTCAAAATGAATGATAAAAACACACACGGCACACTGCAAAATTTCCTCTGCTAAAGTATTAAGAGGAGGTATTTTAATATTAGTAAAATTTGCAAAAAAAATAAATTAAATAATGATAATAATAAATATAAATTAAAATGGTTTAAAAGTTATTTATACTTTGACAACCTTGAGTTAAGTATGATGCTAAAGGACCTCAAGGACAACACATACGAAGAGATGATCCCAAATATTAAGGACTTTGAGGACAACACATAACCTTAATACACTAAAACACTTTATTAAAAATGTAAACACAGACATCACCTATATGCTATAAAATTGCAGGTTAACAATTTCTGTATATAACCATTTATATTTGATAGTATACCTTTAACTTAATTTGATTGTAATGCAATAATGTGCACCATTTTTAAAGCTGCTTTAAATAAATTGATTGTAAAAAGCGCTGTACAAATATACTTAATGTCTTGTAGGACCACAACTAAGTTATTTACTATTAATATTATGTTTAAGTTAACTCACTTTTCTGACTCCTGCTGAGTGTTTGACATCTTGAATCTTCTTGATTCTGTCCTGGATCATCTGCTGCACATCTTTCTGTGTCTTCATCAGTTCAGTCTACAGACAGAGAACAGACACATTAACAACAGATTAATTTATTTGTTTCAGACTGAACTGAACATATAATACAGATTTATTTGTAATGAGCCTTTCTTACACTAAATCCACTACAGTGGTATAAAACAATTCTAAATCATTACTACTTGCATTGACAACACAATACACAACAACAATAAAATTATAGCTCAAATGCTTAAAAAAATACATGTTTGGCAGTCCCGATAGGAAGAGGAAGAGAATTCAACAACCTGAGGGGAGTGGAAAAGAAAGACCTTCCACCCAAAATTTAGAGTTATAGATTTATCAGTATGTTTTACCTTCTTCTCTTTACTCTCCTCTTCTAGAGGAACAGTGTTGTGGTTTTCATGGTCTTTCTCAATACAGAATGAACACACACACGTCTGATCATCTCTACAGAAGAGCTCCAGAGGTCTGTCGTGTTTCTGACATATATAGTCCTCCAGATTCCTCACAGGATCCATCAGTTTGTGTTTCTTTAATCCTGCCACTCTCAAATGACGCTCTAAATGAGTTTGACAGTAAGAGCTCTGACACACCAGACACGACTTCAGGGCTTTCAGCTTTCTGTCCTCACAGACGTCACACACAACTTCAGCCTTTTCCTCAGGCTTTTTCTCTTTATAGTGCTCTGAGATCTCTCTGAGTGTGGTGTTAATCTTGAGATCAGGTCTGTGTCTAAATGTTTCTTTACAGTATGGACAGCTGCAGGTCTGGCTGTTGTTCCAGCACTTATTCAGACAGCTCTTGCAGAAGTTGTGTCCACATGGAGTGCTGACCGGATCAGTGAACACCTCCAGACATATTGAGCACTGAAGCTCCTCAGACAGTGGATTACTGGAGGAGGACATATCTGGAAGAGAAATGATGATCAATGATCACACTCCTAAAGTTTAGACACATCTGAAACACACTGAAGGTTCTACTCTGATATATTTAGATTAATTAGTTTGATCATTTAGGATTAGGATGCCTGTGAGTCCCCTTTTAACTATTTATTTTACTATTTTAGACTTCCATGTTGCTCTTCATGAAGCTGGTTGAATGTAAAGAGCGATCAGTAACATTCAGTGGTGGAAAGAGCACTGAAAAATCCTACTCCAGTAAAAGTACCATTACTTGCCTAAAAATGTAGTGCAAGTAGAGTAAAAGTATCTGTTGTGTATATTATTCAAAGTATGAGTAAAAAGTAGCTCTTTCAGTAGAGTATTACGCTGTAAAAAGCTGATGCATTTCCATGTAATTTGTGGATGTGCTTAAACGTAATATTCTGTAGTGCATTTAGTTATTGCCCAGCAGGCACACAACATCATAAGACTCTAATATTAAGTTCGATTAGGTTGTGATGTCAGGTTTCCAAAATTCAAAGTTTAGTCAGCATCTAAGGACAAAGTTTTTTTGATGTTCAATAACGATGTTTGATATTTGGTTGATTTTAGGTTGTGTTAGAAAATGACCAAAATCCAACGTCGACCCAACATCTTACACCAACATCATATTGACGTCAAAATACTGACATTAATTTATCAGCTACGGCAATCAAAATCCAACATCTGATAGACGTTATAGTGGTAACGTCAACACAAGATCAAGCTGTGACATCATTAGACGTTGATATTTGGTTGATTTTAGGTTGGATGTTTTCTAATCACCATAGATAAGAAAGAAAAAAAGTAGTGACTGCAGGTTGAAGGAAAGTAGTGGAGTAAAAGTACCAATACAGCACAACAAATGTACTTAAGGGAAAGTAAAAGTACACATTTTTAAAACTGCTTAGTAAATTACAGTTGCTGAGAAAAACTACTCCATTACAGTCATTTGAGTATTTGTAATTAGTTTCTTTACACCACTGGTAACATTGAAAATTAAAAGGGGTTAGTTATAATGAGGTTACTCGTTTACTTGTGCATCTGTCACTATACTGCCTCTCAATGGCCAACAACAGTATTACAGCAAAAACAAGTGTCAGTTGGCATTTCTGTGTGGAGTTTGCATGTTCTCACTGTGTTGCTGTAGGTTTCCTCCAGGTGCTCTGGTTTCCCCCACAGTCCAAACACATGAACTATAGGTGACATGAGTAAACTAAATTGGCTCTAGTAAATTTTGTGAGTGAATGAGAGAGTCTATGGGTGTTTCCCTTTGCTGTGTTGTGGCTGGAAGGGCATCCGTTGCGTAAAACAAATGACAGAGTAAATGACGTTTCATTCCACTGTAACGACCCCTGATCAATCAAGGACTAAATGATAGTGATTGAGTGTTCATTCCTGAACTGTACATTAAATATTACAATATTCATTAGGATATTTTTCAAGATAATTGACTTACATGGAGGTAAAACATCTTGACTTCCTCTCCAGGTTTCTTTTCCTTTTGTTGATGTTGGTGAAGATTCTGCCATTGTTCTTCACCTCTTCAGTCCTTTTCACTGAGGGCCATAGGATTAATATTATTCACCTGTATTTAAAAAAAAATTATAATAATAAATTACAATGCAAAGACAAAAAAATCTAATAGCCTATACTGAAAAAATATTTTTTATTCACATAAAAATCTTCAATTATAATAAATAAAAAGCTAATTAAAATCTCACATCTAATATATCAATAATTACATTTAATATGTCAACTGTTTATTTCATATAAAAGTTTGTCATAATTACAGAAATAAAAGAGGAAAGTGTTAGAATATTGTGCTTAACAACATCAATATTAAGAGTATTAGCGGCGAACACAACTACTCCTTTCAAACACAGTAAAGACTCAGAGAACAATCTGAACTATAACCTGCTGTTAAGATTCAAGATAGTTCACAGTACAACTAAAATAAAAATACACATATAAAATTTATATTAAGTGTGTATTAATATACATTTTTGTCACCCAAAGAGTGACTATTAGATTAAGTTCTTAATCTTTACTGTTACTGAAGAGTTTAAATAATACTACACTAGATTTCATCAGCAGTGCAGCAGGTCTGTGTTCAGTTTGCAGATCTTTTACTTCCTGATTCTTTAGTCTTAATTTCACATGACAAAATGACAAAAGCACAAAATTTGGCTTTACAATTTATCAAGTAAACATACTGTTAGTACAAATCTGACAGCGTTTTAGTGGAGTAAGAAACTAAAGTAATTGAGTATTTGACACGATTAAACCTGCTTCTGTTCAACTGACAGAAAACCTGAAGAACCAACAACACCTCAATCAATAAACTGTTCAGTACAGTCTTTCTAATATTTCTGTCTCTTACCTGCAAGTATTAAATGTGTCCACGGTGGTTTCTGAACGGCTCAATCAATGTTGAGTTGTTTAAAGTTTGATCATTTCAGGCGTCCATGTTGTCCATGTCGAATTAGTTTCACTTTCTCTGAAATTCTGCAGTGACGTCACTCTCCTGGATTTACAGGTAAAAGTATTTTTCAGTTCTCTGATTGGCTGATGCTCAGTGGCTCCTCCCTCCCTCTCAGAGCCTCTTCTTCAATGGAGTATTAGTATTTAACATTTGACCGAATATTATACAGCATAAATTATAGACTATAACACGACTACTGACAATATTTACAGAAAATAACACTAAAATAAACACAAGAAGCACTAATCAATATATAAAGACGGAAAAAAACACTGAAATAATGAGTATTCTGGCGCAGCAGATCATTTTCATCTTTATATTCAGATTTTCTGTATTTGAAGCTCTGAACACAAATCAACACAGAAATATATTAAACTCACTCACGAGTACAGAGACAATATTGAGCCATCAGTAACATTAAACAACATCTTACACAAACAGAGATGAAATCACTCTTAGAGAAGAGGATATCTTGTACAACAACTGGAGGAAATGTTTATGAACTGTTTATAGGCTACTAATAATATGCTTTATGTAAATGATGAAATATGATGTTTAGCATCAATAGATTATTAGCATCAAATAAGACGAGTGATTATAATGGGAAATATACTTCATTAAAAGAATTAAAGTGTGAAGAACTGCTGAATATTTATACAGTAGCAACACATTCTGACCCAGATTTGGCATAAAGCTGGCACAGCAGGCATTCATCCGGCTCTGGCATACAGCATGTGGGGCAAATATGGCCCGGTTTGACAGAGGTGGCAGCGTCTTTAAGGCGGCACGCAAGACATGGACCAAATGACAAATGTAGTATTTGGCCCAGATGTTAATAATTGATATGTGGACCACGTAAGTTTGGCCTATCTTCACCCACATTTAAATTAGTTTTTGAGTAAAGAAATATTTTGATGCACAAAGTCATTTCCATCTTCCTGTTTGCATCTTCTAATGCCTTCATTTTAATCCAGGAAACAATCAAGATTTATTAACCTATTGTTTCCTGAATGTTGCAAAATAACCAAACTCAGTTGGCGCCAATGGCCTAGTGGTTACAAGTGGTGCTGACATATAGCATCAAGGTGCTCACGGTGACCTGAGTTTGATTCCCGGTTTGGGGTCCTATGCTGAACTTTCCCCTCTCTCTGCTCCCAATGCTTTCCTGCCTGACCTTCACTGTCCTATCACATAAAAGGTGAAAACCCCCTGAAAATAATAAATAAATAACCAAATTTAACCTACATTACATTTAATTTATTAGCTAAATGATTATTTTACAAATTATATTATTATTAACCATTACAAACCATTACCATTATTAACATGCCTAAAGCGCAATGCTTTATGGGTTTATCTATTTCATTACAGTCGTGACGCACCAAATAATAACAATGGCCAAACATGGTCTATAGCTGACCCAGTTCAGGCCGAGTTATGGGTTATTAACTTGGCTGAGACTAGGCCCAGATATGATCCATGTTTGGCCCTTATGATGAAGCCAGACTTGGTCCAGTTGTGTATCATAATTCACTGCAGCACGTGAACCAAGCAGAAGCTGATTATGTGGGCCAGAACTGGGTCAAAGACATTTTGCCATGTGGGGGGTTGCTGGAGCTTTGTGTTCATGAAATTAAAAACCTTCCCTGATGGAGGAAAACAGCAGAAGCAGCACATCATGTGTAATGGTGTTAATGGTGATAATGGAAATTGTGTTGCTTTAATGGAAACTCTATTGGTCTCTGTGGATCTCGACGGGTAAATTTGTGCCTTATTTAAGTATCACATTAAAAGCAATATATTAATACACAAGAAAAGACACATTAGTAAGCATTAAAATGTCATTTTTAAGGTTACAATTTTGATTTTCTTATTTATTGATCAACTTAACAGCATTTTCAGTCTGTCTGCACGTCATTCACTTCCTTATTCTTTCCTCTTTAATGCTGAGACAAAATGACAGAGACAAATCTTTGCTTTACAGCCAGTTAATGTCGACACCATGATGTTTTAAAAAAAAAGTCCATTAAAGAAGAGTCTGATTAAACTTAAGCTTCTTCCAGTCTGATATAATAAACCAGCACATGAATAACGTCCATCAATAAACCTGTTTAGTTCAATCTGTCTCAGATTTCTGTCTCTTACCTTTGATCATCAAATGTGTCCACGAGCGTCTTTAAACGGCTCAGTTAATATTCTGTATCTGTGTGTAATTCAGCTCTTCATATTGTTGTGTGTGGAGTGTGTTTTACTTCAGCTCTACATTAAGCTCATAGTCCAGTTTACTGTGATCAGTTTCCAGAGCAAAGGTTATACAGACAGTATAGTGCTGAGGGGAACAGTTGTAGATCCAGAGCTCAGAATACTAATCTGCTGTACAGTCATAGAAGTTTTGTATGTGAAAGCTCAAACTAGCTGTAAAACATGTGATAGCCGACTGAAATCAGGACTCTCAGCTTTAATTATCATTCATTCATTTGACTTTACACATTCAGATGTGTCCTGTTGTGTTGCTGTTGTGTCATGAGCAGTAAAGACTGACTAACACAGCCTGCATTGTTTACTGTCATTTACAGAAGACGGCTGTGTAAATGGCCTTCAGTTTAACAGTGTGTTACTTAATAAACAATCCTGTTAGAAATATTCAGGACAAGATTAATATAAAACTCACGTACAGCCGGCAGATTATAATGAACTGTGTTTATGAAATTAGTGTGTTGTTTTATTCTGAAATAAATGAATCTGTAATGCTGAATGACATTTGACCAAACAGGAGAGAATTTCTCTATTTCAGTGTTTGTTTTTCTTCTTTTATTTATTAATCTTTTCATTACTTTAGTTTGATATCAGTAAATTACAGCAGATGTTGGACAATAATGAGCATTATTATAGTGAAGTTTTACAGACTAATTTCGAGAGGAGCATGTGATATGATTGATCACAGCTGGTCTTGAATCTGTAATCAGCATTAATCCAAGCCTACAATAAATAAACTGATTTCACCCTACTGCCTTACATTCATTTTGGAAGAATCCCCCCCTTCCACCCCATTTCCTTCTTTTACCAGAAGGAATTTAATTTAAAATTATTATTATTCGTAAATTGATTGTGGCAAATTATGTCTAAATACCATGTTTGTACAGTGTTGTGTATGATAAATATTTTAGAACTGCTAAATTATTTTTAAAATCATTATTAATTTGATTATTTTAATTCAATTAAATCTAATTATTTTACTAAAATATTTATTAGTTGCAACTTCCTTCTCAGACTATAATGTTTTAGTAGTGTGAATTAAAACAATGTAAAAGTTTATTATTTAAACATTAATTGCCTGTAAACATCTATAAGTAACATTTAACCGTATTACATATAACACATGTTTGGGTGTTCAAAAACATTACATGTAAACACACTTAACTCTGCTGTCGAGTATATTTCTGTGTAGTAAAAACACTTTGTGAAAGCATGTTAAAGTGCTCTACTTGTTCATTTTAAGAGAGAAACAGCCATTGAGTAATACTGGAATTTGTCAGTGAACATTCTTTATTGTTTATTCAGATGAAAAGATTATCAGTTTTACTTTGCAGAAGGTGACAAGAGAAAACAAAATTAAACAGTTTCAGATTTTACTTCTCAGAGTTTCAACAGTTTTCGGTTGCAAAACTTAAAAAAAATAAACAATTATATAATAACATGTAATATTTAAAATTAGGGGTATGAATTCATTTATTATAATGGAGAGGTGTGATGATCAGTGGGTTTGAGTTTTTACCTCCATTGTTTAGATGTGGGCTAAAAAATGGATAGAGTTTATCAGTGAAAGTCTGACCAGTGTAAGAGTAGATATGAGAGCTGGACTCCACATCATAAATGGAGACCAAACCCTCCTCATAATCCACAAACACACCGACCCGCTGCAGATTCACTCCCACAGACAGAGAGACAGAGGGACCAGCAAAGGCTTTATATTCATTCCCATTCCTCAGAACCACAGTCCAGAATCCATTACTGGGACTCACTGTGATGGATCCCTTCCTGTTAATGGATTCTCTGACCACTCCTAAAGTCCAGTCAGTCTTTCCCTTCACCTGCACCTCAAAATAAAATCTCCCTGAGGAGAATCCCTCCTTTCCCAGGACACAGGGACATCTATCAAATCTCTGTGGAGTGTCTGGGAGTTTCTGTCTGATGTCTCCATGTTTCACTTGTTTTCCATCATCAGACAGGATGATTTCAGGATGAGCTGTATCAGGATCCAGAGTCACATCCACTGAGAAAACAGAATATAAAATCACTAATTATCAGTGCAAATATTATGATTGTTTATAATATTTAATCCAGTTTTTAAAGTGTTGAAGCTGTGAGAGTATGAATGTATTTTATAAAATTTCTTTAACATTTTGACTTTCAGCTCTACTGTCCGCTCATTTCACAACACCTTTACCTTTTCTGAGTTTATATTAATGTAATAACATGCACCTATTAAAAATCTGCTCTGAAAAAAAATAAATATTGACAAAAGCACAACATAAATAATAATGAAATGAATTGTATTAAATTGAACTGAATCTGAGTGTAGACTAGTGTAGTTCAGCACACTGTACCTGCATACTGCTGCACCCACTTCACCTCTGCAGACACTGATGACAATAAAACATGAGGAGATCTGTTAGATGAGTTCATGAGTGAAATTATACAAAACATTAAAGGTTAAATTTTAAGAATATTGTGCAACATCACATTTACATCTGATCAATGTATGATTTATAGAGAATCGGGCAGCTTTCTGTTTATGCATCAGATGTATTTTAGTGAATGACTCGACATATGCAGATATTCAATAATTCATATATTGTGACGATGAACAGAGACAATATTTATATTGTGGACACTTCAAATTACGAGAGGGGTCTGGCTGCAGACCTGGTGCAGTCCAATCTGGGCTGCATCCAGTGCTTTTTAATGGGCTCACCTAACCCCACCCCTAACCCTACCCGTCACAGGGACGTCACTAGCTCCATTTGAGTGCATTGTGTCTGACATTGCATCACTGAGTGATGCAGTCTCAGCTTGCATCATAAAGGCTGCATCCAGATACTATTGCAAAATACTGGAAATACAGGAATAATATAACTGATAATGACAAATACATGATCAAATACTGTCATATACTCTTATTTCAGCTTCTTCATTCTTCATCACTTATATTAAATTATATTTCATTGACATACCAGCTTGACTGAGTTTCTCCTCTACAGTGTCCTTCAGATGATCTAAAGTTTTTCTCAGAGTCTCCAGATTCTCCTGAGTCTTCAGACTGATCTCAGGCCAGTTCCTGGTGTCTGCAGGTCTGCTCTGCAGGGATGAGTAACTCTACAGCAGGAGAGAGAGAGGAGAAAGCCTTCAGCATGGGGAGTGTTCTGGTGTGTCATTGCTCAGAGAGATGTTGACTGACCTGTAGGAGGTGGAGGTGATCTTCAGTGTGTGAGAGCTGCTCCAGCTTAGTGTTTCTCATCTTCAGCTCAGTGATCTCCTGCTCCAGCTCTTCAATCAGCTCTTCCTCCTGTTTCTCTGCTGCTTTCTGCTGCTCCTCCATCATCTCCAGCAGTTCAGTCTGACATCTCTCAATAGAGCGGATCAGAAAAGTGAAGATCTCCACATGAGCTGCTTTCTCCTTCTCTGAGTATATCTGCTCAAACAGGTCAGTCAGAGCATTATTAGTGGAGTTTACTAAGATAATGATGGAGTCATCACACTTATGCTGATATTTAGATGTAGCGAGTAGTGGGTCGGGGCAGAGAGCCGTGAGGGCGTGCTAGCTGGTGGCGTTAGAGTTAACAACAATCACCTGTGCACCGCACTTGTCTCGAGTCTTACAGAGGAGCTCTGGATGATCTTAAAAGGAGGAGAGACAGCAGTGAAAGACGAGAGGGAATCAGGCCTGGACACTTTATGTTTGTGGTGTTTTCCGTTTGGCGGTATTCATCGTGTGTTTCTGCCACCTGTTTGTTTGGATTGTTTTCATCATTAAAACTATTTAAAATTCACTGGTTTTCAACATTGGCCATCAACATGATTACATGAGACAAAGAGCTTTTATACAACTATTTAACAAGCAAAAGGTAAACTTCAAGTAAGGTTCATCTTAGATAAATTATTGCCAGTTTTGTCTGTTTTTGTTACAACCACTGAAAAGTGTTTTAAACAAAGTTGTAGAACAATATATTATAGTGGTGTCACCAGTTCGGTCCCATTATATCACTTCACCAACCAACAGAGGCCCTCATCTCACGAATATTAACCCCATGCGTGGTGCTGAATGGAAGTGTATGTGGAGAAAAGTCCAGTGTGACCGCAGCTTTGGTGTGAAATCTTGTTTTGCTTACATTTCTGAGCATTTCTTGTGTATTCTGACTGCTTTTCTTTTTCCTACTGCCTGATTCCTTGTTTTTGATTGTATGCTGCCTGCCCTGGCCAAAGCCTTTACCATCGTTTTTGACTGTAAGCTGTTTGTCCTGTACAAAGCCTGGAATTCTGTCTGTGAGTATTCTCCATATACCCTGATTACAGTCTGGACAGTTGCTGCATACCCACTCACTAGTTTACGTCCTTTTTTATTTACTAGTAACAGATCTAACAAAGTAACTTATAGAAAGAGTGACTCTCCAAACCCATCGCATACATAAACTGATGGTCCGAACTGTCTGAAATAAACAGACCAGTGGAGGACACTGAAACTCTCAGTACTGTTGGACTCTTGCTGAACTAGAGTGAATCATGTATCATTTATATTAATCTTTTATGAACTCACTTTTCTGACTTCTGCTGAGTGTTTGATGTCTTGAATCTTCTTGATTCTGTCCTCGATCATCTGCTGCACGTCTTTCTGTGTCTTCATCAGTTCAGTCTAGAGACAGAGAACAGGTATTTTTAGCAGATTTACTGAAGAAAATCAATCTGCATTCAGACTTTGATTCCCCATAATATGAGCCTCAGCCTTGTCTACCTTCTTCTCTTCAATATCCTCTTCTAGAGGAACAGTGTTGTGGTTTTTGTGATCTTTCACAGTACAGAATGAACACACACACGTCTGATCATCTCTACAGAAGAGCTCCAGAGGTCTGTCGTGTTTCTGACATATATAGTCCTCCAGATTCCTCACAGGATCCATCAGTTTGTGTTTCTTTAATCCTGCCACTCTCAAATGAGGCTCCAGGTGAGTTTGACAGTAAGAGCTCTGACACACCAGACACGACTTCAGGGCTTTCAGCTTTCTGCCCTCACAGATTTCACACATAATTCTTGGCTTTTTTGCAGGATTTTTCTCCTTATAGTGCTCAGAGATCTCTCTGAGTGTGGTGTTAATCTTGAGATCAGGTCTTTGTGTGAATGTTTCTTTACAGTATGGACAGCTGCAGGTCTGGCTGTTGTTCCAGTATGTATTCAGACAGCTCTTGCAGAAGTTGTGTCCACATGGAGTGCTGACCGGATCAGTGAACACCTCCAGACATATTGAGCACTGAAGCTCCTCAGACAGTGGACCACTGGAAGAGGACATCGCTGGAAGAGAAATTATGGGGAAAAAAATCATACACTTGAATCATAGTGAAGGTTCTGGTCTGATATAATTAGATTCATCAGTTTGATCATTTAGGATCAGGATGCCTGTGAACCTCCTTAATATTAATTTATGAAGACTTCAATGTTGCACAGCATGAAGCTGGTTTTAGTGACTTTAAAACATTAAAAAGTGGTAAATTATGATGAGGTTTCTGATTTACTAATCACTTTGAAACCAATATACTTCCTCAACAAGGGCCAACAACAGAAATACAGCAAAAACAAGAAGCTGTTTGAGCTGTTTTTTATTCATGCATTTATTTTCCTCCGGTTTAGTCTCTGTTTCAGAGGTCACCACAGCAGAATGAACCAATTTTTTGAACAGAATGAACAGTTTTATTTATTTATTTTAAATTATCTTATGAATTACTGTTCACAAACTCATAACTAGACAAACAGTAAACCAAACAACATGAGTTCTGCAACATTCATTCATTTGCTTCAGCTTAGTCCCTTTTTTATCAAGGGTCACCACAACGGAATGAACCACCAACGGATGCCCTTCCAGCCACAACCCAGTACTGGAAAAACCGCTGCAAAACTATTACATATTTAATTTACATATTACTATTCATTTAAGAGCGACAAGAGCTAATTTTATTATTATTATTGACCTAATTATCAAAGATATTTAGCTAAAATGTACAAACAGTAATACAAGTAAGTATTTACACAATTGCTGCCTTCAAAATACATTTAAGACTCAGTGAACAATCTGAACTATGACCTGCTGTTTAGATTCAAGCACAGAAAAGGCTAAAATTATAACATACAATAAACAAAATATACAAAAATACAAAGAATTGTATAATTAGAATAAGATTTTTAATGTTATTGAAGTTTATATAATGTTATAAATCATCTGCAGTGCAGCAGGTCTGTGTTCAGTTTGTCTGCAGCTCTTTCACTTCCTGATTCTCTAGCCTTTATTTCACCTGACAAAACTCAAAACTTTGCTTCACAATCAAGTAAACATACTGTTGATACAAATACAGCATTTCAGTGGAGTAAGAAACCAAAGTAGTTGAGTATTTGACACGATTAAACCTGCTTCTGTTCAACTGACAGAAAACCTGAAGAACCAAAAGCACTTCAATCAATAAACTGTTCAGTTCAGTCTCTCTTATGTTTCTGTCTCTTACCTGTGAGTATTAAATGTTTCCACAGTGATTTCTGAACGGCTCAATAAATATACATTAGTTTAAAGCTTGATTATTTCAGGAGTGCACGTTGTTTTTGATCGGGTAAGTTTCACTTTCTCTGAATCCTGCAGTGACGTCACTCTCCGGTTTCTCTCTGTATTTTTCAGTTCTCTGATTGGCTGATGTTCAGTGGCTCCTCCCTCCCTCTGAGCCTCTTCTTCAATGGAGTATAAGTGTTTATCATTTGACTGAATATTATACAGCATAAACTTTAGACTATTACACGACTAATGACAATATTTACAGAAAATAACACTAAAATAAACACAAGCAGCAATAATCAATATATAAAGACATCAAAGGAAAACACTGAAATAATGAGCAGTAAAAACTGACTAACACAGCCTGCATTGTTTTTACTGTCATTTACAGAAGACGCCTGTGAAAATGGCCTTCAGTTTAACAGTGTAACTTAAAAAACAATCCTGTTAGAAATATTTAGCACAAGATTCATTTAAGACTAACGTAAAGCCCCCAGATTATAATGAACTGTGTTTATGAAATAAGTGTTTTATTCAGAAATAAATGAATCTGTTATGCTGAAAGACATTTCACCAAACAGACGAGACAACATGCCAAACATGCTAATAGCATCAAGCAATATCTGTGTGTACTCTTGAAATATATGTAATTTTAAATTATTAATAATGATTAATCTGCTCTTTGATTGTGGTAAATTGTGCCAAAATGTTTGTACAGTGTTGTGTAGGATAAATATTTAAAAATTGCTAAATTATTTTTTACATTTTTATTAAATTTATTATTTTCATTCAATTAAATTAATTCATTATTTTACTAAAATATTTATTAGTTGCAACTTCATTCTTAGATTATGATGAAGTAGTGTGCATTAAAACAATCTTAAAGTATATTATTTAAACATTAATTGCCTGTAAACATCTAACATTTAACCATATTACATATAACATGTTTAGGTGTTCAAAAACATTACATGTAAACACACTTAACTGTGCTGTCGAGTATTTTTGTGTAGTAAACACACTTTATGAAAGTATATTAAAGTGCTCTACTTGTTCATCATAAGAGAGATACAGCCATTGCACAACACTGGAATTTGTCAGTGAACATTCTTTGTTGTTTATTCAGATGAAAAGATTATCAGTTTTACTTTGCAGGAGGAGACGAGAGAAAACTAAATCAAACAGTTTCAGATTTTACTTCTCAGAGTTTTAGCACATCATTTATGCTACAAAACAAAACATAAAGATGTTCTGCCGTTCAGTTGCAGGAGTTTTTAATAATTAACAATTCTATAAATAATGTAATATTTCAAATTAGGGGTATGAATTCATTCTTTATAACTGACAGGTGTGATGATCAGTGGGTTTGAGTTTTTACCTCCATGGTTTAGACCTGGGCTGAAATATGGATAAAGTTTATCAGTGAAAGTCTGACCAGTGTAAGAGTAGATATGAGAGCTGGACTCCACATCATAAAAGGAGACCAAACCCTCCTCATAATCCACAAACACACCGACCCGCTGCAGCTTCACTTTCAGAGACAGAGGTACTGAAGGACTAGCGAGAGCCTTGTATTCATTCTTCCTCAACCACACAGTCCAGAATCCATTACTGGGAGTCAGTGTGATCTCTCCCTTCCTGTTAATGGATTCTCTGACCACTCCTAAAGTCCAGTCAGTCTTTCCCTTCACCTGAACCTCAAAATAAAATCCCCCTGAGGAGAATCCCTCCTTTCCCAGGACACAGGGACATCTATCAAATCTCTGTGGTTTGTCTGGGAGTTTCTGCTCAATGTCTCCATCTCTCACTTGTTTTCCATCATCAGACAGGATCAGATATGGATGAGCTGTATCAGGATCCAGAGTCACATCCACTGAGAAAACAGAATATAAATGACTAATAAATCAGTGCAAATATTATGATTGTTTATAATATTTAATCCAGTTTTTTTTTCCATTTTAACTTTGAGCTCGACTGTCTGCTCATTTCACAACACCTTTACCTTTCTGATTTTAAAAGTAATGTAATAACATGCACCTATTGAAAATCTGCTTCGAAAAAATAACTACTGAGTAAAGCACTATACAAATAATACTGAAATGAATTGTATTAAATTGAACTGAATCTGAGTGTAGACTAGTGTAGTTCAGCACACTGTACCTGCATACTGCTGCATCCACTTCAGCTCTGCAGACACTGATGACAATAAAACATGAGGAGATCTTTGAGATGTTTTCATGTGTGAAATTACACAAAACTTAAGGTTATATTTTAGGAATATTGTGCAACATCACATTTACATCTGATCAATGTATGATTTATAGAGAATCGGGCAGCTTTCTGTTTATGCATCAGATGTAATTTAGTGAATGACTCAACATATGCAGATATTCAATAATTCATATATTGTGGCAATGAACACAGACATTATTTATATTGTAAACACTTCAAAATACTAGGAATACAGGGATAATATTACTGATAATGACAAATACATGATCAAACACTGTCATATACTCTTATTTCAGCTAAGACTCATTCTCCAGTACTTAAATAAAATTTTATTTGATATTGACATACCAGTTTGACTGAGTTTCTCATTTAGAGTGTCCTTCAGTTTACTGAAAGCTCTTCTCAGAGTCTCCAGATTCTCCTGAGTCTTCAGACTGATCTCAGGCCAGTTCCTGGTGTCTGTAGGTCTGTGCAGGGATGAGTAAATCTACAGCAGGAGAGAGAGACGAGAAAGCCTTCAGCATGGGGAGTGTTCTGGTGTGTCATTGCTCAGAGAGATGTTGACTGACCTGTAGGAGGTGGAGGTGATCTTCAGTGTGTGAGAGCTGCTCCAGCTCAGTGTTTCTCATCTTCAGCTCAGTGATCTCCTGCTCCAGCTCTTTAATCAGCTCTTCCTCCTGTTTCTCTGCTGCTTTCTGCTGCTCCTCCATCATCTCCAGCAGTTCAGTCTGACATCTCTCAATGGAGCGGATCAGATCAGTGAAGATCTCCACATGAGCTGCTTTCTCCTTTTCTGAGTATATCTGCTCAAACAGGTCAGACAGAAAATTATTAGTGGAGTTTGCTAAGACCAGAATATGTTACTGCTTTTAAAATTTTAGATAAAGGGTTGTGAAAGCCACTTAAATCACTGAAGTATTAAACTTAAACTGCACTGAACTGAATGATTCCTCAAATCTTGTATCTTGTCAAGCAGAGATGTGATATTTCTTCATCACATCCATCAATATTCAGACAAACAGCACATTTGCGATTATTTTTTATACTTGAATGTATAAAATCAGCAGTTAATATGGATCAACTTACATTGTAAACAAATTATTGCATTATTTATGTGGCTGTTTGGAATGCTTGATTCAGATTGGTCAATTCATACCATTAGGGAGTGCCTTGTTCCCATTAACTAATAATTCAGCCTCATGTAACTGAAGTCATTAATAGTGTCTTGCTCTCCTATTTCATACAAACTGCTGCCATCTTTCATCACTGTTGTTGATTATAAAATATTAAATATTATGAAATACTAATGTTATAATATTCTATAAACTCTTGCCAGAACAGTAGTTTTGAGTGCTAATAATTAAAGATGATAAAATGACATACAAGAAAGGAAACAGGAATGAGGGAAATGTAGTTTCATCTCTCATCATGTTTATAAAGCAGTGTAAACAGTGATATGACTGTATCCCGGTATGAATATGAGGTGTATAATAAGTGCTGCTCCTTATGTTGGCTCCTGATCATTCTGTTGGGGTTTATTGCGGAATAACAACCAGCTAGATGTACATTACCCCTTATTTACTCTGTTCACACCCTCTCTGAGCAACTAAGAGTTTTAAATCCATTACAATGTAGTGGAGACTAGTTCCTTAATCAATCAGTGTTTTTAACTATCCTCACTCATGAAGACCACTTACTGGTGTGTTAATGTAACCTGCAGACAGAGTGTCTGGAAAAGACTTTAAAGGACTATCTACATTATTAAGCATTGATGTTGAACCTTAATTGAATGAACTCACTTTTCTGACTTGAGCTGAGTGTTTGACCTCTTGAATCTTCTTGATTCTGTCCTTGATCATCTGCTGCACATCTTTCTGTGTCTTCATCAGTTCAGTCTATAGACAGAGAACAAACACATTTGGAGCAGATTTACTGAAGACATCTCACAAGATGAAATAAACCTTGATTTCACAGGATATTAGTGTTATTTTCATAATATTCTACCTTCTTTATTCTACTCTCCTCTTCTATTTGAACAGTGTTGTGGTTTTTGTGGTCTGTCTCGGTGCAAAATGAACACACACACGTCTGATCATCTCTACAGAAGAGCTCCAGAGGTCTGTCGTGTTTCTGACATATATAGTCCTCCAGATTCCTCACAGGATCCATCAGTTTGTGTTTCTTTAAACCTGCCACTCTCAAATGAGGCTCCAGGTGAGTTTGACAGTAAGAGCTCTGACACACCAGACACGACTTCAGGGCTTTCAGCTTTCTGTCCTCACAGACGTCACACACAACTTCAGCCTTTTCCCCAGGCCTTTTCTCCTTATAGTGCTCTGAGATCTCTCTGAGTGTGGTGTTAATCTTGAGATCAGGTCTCTGTCTGAATGTTTCTTTACAGTATGGACAGCTGCAGGTCTGGCTGTTGTTCCAGCACTTATTCAGACAGATCTTGCAGAAGTTGTGTCCACATGGAGTGCTGACCGGATCAGTGAACACATCCAGACATATTGAGCACCGAAGATCCTCAGACAGTGGACCACTGGAGGAGGACATCCCTGGAAGAGAAATGATGATCAATCATCACACTCCTAAAGTTTAGACACATCTGAAACACACTGAAGGTTCTTCACTGATATATTTAGATTAATTAGTTTGATCATTTAGGATTAGGATGCCTGTGAGCCCCCTTAATACTATTTATTTTTCTATTTTAGACTTCCATGTTGCTCTTCATGAAGTTGGTTGAATGTAAAGAGCGATCAGTAACATTCAGTGGTGGAAAGAGCACTGAAAAATCCTACTCCAGTAAAAGTACCATTACTTGCCTGAAAATGTAGTGCAAGTAGAGTAAAAGTATCTGTTGTGTATATTATTTAAA